GCCCCTAATTTTTTTTAAATGTTTTTCAACTGTGCAGTACAAACCATTATCACAAACAATATCAGTAAATTGAACTTCCTCCTGAAAGGTCAAGGAAAATGGAAGTTTATATTGAAGCACAAGGATCATTATGAGCTATTAAGGATCTGATGCTACAATTGCAAGTGCTTCTTCCTAACAGCCTGAAATTTCAGTTCCCTTGGCGCTAACTAGTACACACGCAGATGGAGTGTTTGAGTAAATAAAGAATATGGAACATTTTAGCTGCTCCATGTCAGGCCCTTACTTTAGCTATCTAAAGCATTAGAGACGTTAAGTGACAGGCACTGCAGATTTCCATTAGAAAATCCTGAAATTGGATTCCTCTCCACTTTAAGTAAGAAGTTTGGGTCTTGATGCGATTGAAAAGTGTTTCTAATCCAAAAGTGATAACATAGTCATTTTAATGGCACTGTGCACTCTAAAATTTCTATAGACTTGATAACTTTCTTTTATAAAAATGAGCTCTTACTATTTCATAGTAAATAACTTTTTTTAAAAAAGCATGCTTGATAAGGGCAAAAATTTACTAACTTCAGTGTTTGATTCACAGAATTATTTACTTAATGCACTGTTTCTAGAGGAAATGTGGTTGGAATTTCAAGTGAAATGGTTTATAATTTGGTCCTTTTTCATAACCTGCAAGGCGTATTCATTTCTTTTCATCTGAAACATTCTAGACATGACAGGTTGTCTGAAAAACTTAACATTCTACTCTTTTGTGAATTGCAGCTTTTCAGATTTCCCACTCTAGATTTTTTTTCTCTTTTTAGTTTTTTAATTTATACTTTTATCTTCAGAACTGTTAGCTATTTTAATTTCTGAATATGACTGAATAATGAAGAGTGAGTGAGTGAATGAATAAGTGAGTTTGCCTTCTTTAATACTATATCTGTGACTGATAAAAGTTGTGGTCTGTGTAGCTTTTTGAGGAGATGAACATACTATAATAGTAACTGACTACTGAACCATATGATGAGATGATTGCAATATATGTATATGTACATGTGCAGCTGAGTTTTTTGGCCTACAAGAAGAGGAATGAGATCCAGCCAAAACCCAAATCAGAACCTTTGGAAAGCTTCCTTACAGTCTGATTTCAGCTAATGTCTACACACTTTAACACATTGTCTCATGCTTAGCGTAAAGACTGGCTGTCAAACTCCTACATGCTATTCTGGGCTCTGTTACTCACTGCAAAGTATCTCATTCTTAGATCCCATGGTTCCTACTACAGATTTCAGGATTTGCTACATTCAGGGTAAAATGTTGTTTAATTAATATTAGTAAGGCAACTGAAAAAAAGAAAACTCAATGGGACATAATTCAGTGATAGGAGAAACAGAATTCAGGTTGGAATTAGTTAGTCAAAAACAAATTGGAGGCATTCCCAGAAGAGCACCCATGATGATCAGAGCATGGGAAGGGCTAACTGATTTCTAAAAGAAGAAGCAGTCATGTTCCATTATGCTTGAAGAGGAGCCAACTAGGATGGGTATAATAAGATCCAATAGGAATGTAAAGGCAAAGAGAAGTAGAGTGGTGCTGGCATGGCAGAAGGAAGGATTATCCAGGAATAATGTAATAAAATCAAGAATATCCTCAGACGGGTTAAAGTCTAGCAACAGCTTTATGGGAGTGATAGATTTTAGATTATACCATTTGATGAACAGATCAGTTGTGTTCTAAATGTCTTCTAAAACTCTCTGGAAGGTTTAGCCCAAAAAGCAGACATCCATGTTCATGTGACTCTCATAATCTGATTTATCGACTCAGGGTGCACATACTACCACATCTCCTTTTTCCCCCCAAACCTGCCCTATTATCAGGATATGGAGTCTTTCTTTCAGAGAAAGACACAAGTACCCCTTCCCCGCCCCTAGCTGTCTTAAAGCCAGAAAGAGACCATCTTGCTTGTGAACTGGAACCTGAGAGTCCATCCACTGCCTTGGCTTTTCCACTGTTGATGACTGCTCTTACTTGGTGGGACAGACCCTTGTCCCATGCTTCTGTACAGTCATCAGACCCCTGCTTGGACCTCAGTAGAACTCTACTCTGGGTTCCTGCAGGACATATTTTTTTAGTTTATACTCCCTTGCTCAGCCATGGTTCCCAGAACAAACTTCTGGGCTGAGATAGCCAGGACTGGAGGAGCTAATAGCATCAGCTCCACAAATTGTGCCAAATATCCTCCTAGGTTTTCCATTTCTGAAAGGCAATTTCATTTCAAGAGACTAGCTCCTTTCCATTTACTAAGGGATACCATGATCTATCCAGACAGATCTTCTTAACTTGGAACCTATGGGAGCCAGGAATTGGGGTCCTACTTCCTTCTCTCCCAGCAGGCTTTGGTTTCTTCCTATATATTGTCCACCCCATTCCCTGTAACCAGCTCTGCAAAATCAACAACAATAAAAAAGAGTATATGATCAATCTTGATAAGGTCAAAGAAAGCTAGTTTATCTCAACTAAAATGACAGTATCCCACTCCCTGTGATCAACTAGGTATTTCTTTTAAGACTCTTAGACTCATAAAATTGTAGATCTGTACAAACTTTGTTGGTCTTCTACTCCAGACTTTTTATTTTACAAACATGGAAGCAGTTCCAGAAAATGTTAGGGGATTTATCCAAAATCCACAAAGCTAGTCAGTGCCAGAGCTAGACCAAAAGTCCTATACCCCCAGTTCACTCCTCTTTCCACTGCTCCCCACTTTCATTCCTCTTGTGATTTTATTTCATTTCATGTTTCACGAAAGAATTTGTGGCTTTTTATCCTTAATATCAAGCTTCTCTCTTCTTGTTGTAGGTGCATTAATAAATGGATTAGAAAAATGAGATGTCTCTTATAAATCTCCTGCTTCTTATAAATTAAACACACCATTTACATCCTAGGACAGTAATTGTTCCACCCAATTGAGTGATGCCTGGTATTGTGTGCCTTTTAACAAAATGTTAGCAAATTGAATTCAACAATGTGTAAAAAGGCAAATATATTATGATCAAGAAGAGTTTATCCTAGAAATGCAAGGTTGGTTTAACATTCAAAAGTCAATCAATGTTACTCACTATATTACCACACTAAAAAAGAAAAACTATGTGATAATTTCAATAGATGCAGAAAAAACATTTGTCAAAATCCAACATCTGTTCCTGATTTTAAAAATAAAAAACCTCTCAGCAAACTGGGAATAGACAGAAACTTCCCTAACTCAATAGGGGCATCTATGACATGCCTGTAGCTACCATCATAAATAACAGTGAAAGGTTGAATACATTCCTCCTGACATCAGGAACAAGGCAAGGACATTTACTCTTACCACTTCTAGTCAACATTGTACTAGAGGTTCTAGCCAATGCATTAAGGTAAGAAAAAGACCTTGAAATCACCCAGATTGGAAAGGAAGTAAAATGTCTTCATTTATTAACAACATAATCTTCTATGTAGAAAATCTATGGAATGTACAAAAAGAAAGGTTATGAGAACTAATAAGCAAGTTAGGCAAAGCTGTAGGAAACAAGATCAATACACAAAATCATTACTATTTCTGTATGCTAGCAATGAAAAACAGAAATTAAAAAATGAAAACATTTTATAATTGCATTAAAAATATTAATATCTAGGTGTAAATCTGACAGAAAATATGACCTTGGTTTAGGCAAAAGCTTTTTACATACAACACCAAAAGCATGCTCCGTAAAACCAAAAATTGCTGGGCTGGCTGAGTGGTGCATTGTTTAAGACCTGGCTTGGGACGCCAGCTCTGAGGAGCAGGGCCCCGGTTTGGATCCCACATGGGGGCCAGTGACACTGCCCTCTACAGCTAAGATGGTAAACAACAGCTCTACCTGGAGCTGGGATGCCGTGAGTCACCAGCGATGGAGTAGGCTGCAGCCCTTGCTGCAGTAGGCTGCCATAAGCTACCGTGTGTGGCTGGCAGCACGCGAACAGCCATCAGCCAGTGTGAGCTGCCAAGAGCCGCCATGAGCGGCTGTCCAGAGGCCGGTGACCGGTCTGCCTCACCCGGGAAGAGCACAATGATAATACTAACATGGGCCAGTGAAGCGACATCCTCCACAACTAGACTGAAGAACAAAAGGACAGCAAGTTGTCTGTTCCCCTTCCCCAATTCCCCAACACTGTTGCCCTCCCCCAACTCTCCAATAAAATCTTAAAATATATATATATTTCAGTAGATACATTTTAAAGCAAAGAGCTCTTTTGTAAAAGTAATCTTCACTGTTGAATACATCTTTTTTTTAATGCCTCCTATTGTGATATATTGTGTTTCTTTTCAAGAGCTTTTCATGCACAATAATATCATCGTGTTGGTTGTGCTTTGTCCTGAAGTGGCAGAGGCAATTGCAATAGCTGGCTGTATCTACTTTTTAGTACACATCCAGTTTAGTTGACTTGTTAAATTATACATTGTGATTAGATATTTACTCTGCTTGGTATCTTAGCCAAATTTCAACTTAGGAACTTACAAGTATTTAAATCAAGAAAGCATTGCAAATACTTCAAAATGATTCATTTCCTCTTAACACAAAGCTCAATTAATACTTGAATTGGGAATATATATATATATATATGAATATATATATATATATATATATATATATATATATGCAAGTTCCTTTTCAGTCAGTCATCAGAATGAGAACTACAAAGTTTTTAAAGGATGTATGTGTTTTAAATGTGTTGGGTGTTCCATTAAAAAACCTGGCTTTGTTTCCATGAGGTAAAAGACACAGTAAATGGGAAGGATAAAAGTCAGCCATAAAATACAACTTTCCAGACAATGATTCCGAGCCCATTGCGCTGAGCATGAAAATACTAATGAACAATTCTGCCCTTTCCGGCCTGGCTCATGGCAGTGAGATACAGGAACTTGGAAGTTCTTCCTCGCCTTCTCTCTCTCACTCAAATAGCTGTGGTGACCCGGCCTTTCTTTCTTGCAGGGTGTGAACGGCATGTCTGTGGATGAGAAGCCTGACTCCCCCATGTATGTGTATGAGTCCACAGTCCACTGCACCAACATCCTCCTGGGCCTCAATGACCAGCGGAAGAAGGATATTCTCTGTGACGTGACTCTGATCGTGGAGAGGAAGGAGTTCCGGGCCCACCGGGCTGTGCTGGCTGCATGCAGTGAATACTTCTGGCAGATGCTCGTCGGACAGACGAAAAATGACTTGGTGGTCAGCTTGCCTGAGGAGGTAGGGTGGTTCGGTTTGTTTGTGTGGCTGCTTGCTGATGGAGGCTTATTGACTTGTAATCAGTTGTCTGAGTAGGAGCCAGAAGGTGGACCCTGTGCCATCCCCCCTCAGGGGCTGATGTCCACGTCACTCACACATTAGGTTTGTGGCAGAGCCAGTTTCTATTTGATACACGTCAAGTCTCAGAGGCATGAGTCTGAACAGAGCATCTTTCTTTAGGGGAACTGAACCCCACCTGTGGCTCACAGCCACTCGTAGTTTCTAGTTCACTTACTCTTTGGGTTTTGAGTAGTTCAGCCAGAGTTTGGTGCAGTCCTCCATGTAGGATCTGAATCACTGGGACTGTTGCTATGATTCTTCGGTTTCAAATGATTGAAGGAGCGCTTGATTTCCCTTGAGAGTTAAAGAATGAGCATATTCACAGCCCCTTCTTTGCTTGGGGGAAAAGTAACAGCAAGCAGTAATTTTCACAGTTAATATGGAAAGAGGCTAAGAAGTGTAAACTTGCTTTTCTAACTATTGTTGAAACTACCCTACTCAGGTTTCTTAATTACTTCGGCGAGTCCTGTCATTTCTGCCCTTTGGGGACACTGGTGGCTGGACCTAGTTCTGTCCAGAGATGACATTCAATTGGATGGTTTGAGCTGCAAGAATTCAAATGATGGGCCTCACAATGACAGACTAGTAAACTGGTCACCCTTTGAACTGTGTATACAGTTCCTCTTCTTCCATCTTCCTGACTCCCCTGCATGTTCATGGGACAGAGGGTAAAACTGAGCAGTCTAGGGCTTTGTGTTCAGGGCCAGACTCATCCCCTCTGCACCAGCACAGTGTGCAACACTAGTCCCCACCGCATGCTGTGCCGGCTCTGCACGGCACAGCTCGCAGGGACACAGCGCACATCCATAGTCTGTGCACATACAGCCCCAGGGTTGTGCAGTGATACACTGAGCGGCTCTCCACACAACCCGAGGAGAAACCAAAGGCCCCACCACCCTCATGCAAGGTGCTGATGAGTACAACTAGCATTAAATCCCAGGGCTGCAAACCAAAACGCCTCCAAAGGCCTGGCAAATAATATGAGTAAAGCGGGTATGTATAAGATAGGATAAAGTGGTGGGCAAGTGCCTGCTCCACAGAAAGGCAACCAAATTCAACATAAAAAACAGACAACCAAGACATGGGGGTCAGAGGGGGTCTCCAGAGCCAGTCCTTTGTTGAGCGACATCTGCTGTGACTCCTGGAGAGCGGGGCAGAGTGGCCAGCTGATAAAGTGAGGACGCGTAAGCACGTGGCATTTTCACATTTTCTTTTCTAATGTACCAACATAAAAGGCTTCATTACTACTCCTCACACCACTCACAAGTAGGTAATTAGAATGGTCCCAATACTGAAAGCCAAAGGACAAATCAGTTGGAGATAATGTAACTGGGACTGGGGTAGGGAGGGAAGTTTACGTACCAAGTAATGTGGGAAGCCAAGGTATGGCAGATGTGGTGTGACCGGCTGATCGGAGCTGGGTTTTCTTCATCTGCATTAATGGGTGCATGAACACCATCATTAGGAGAAATAATAAATACAAAAGTCCTCGCCCCGGTCCTTGTCCCATAGTAGGCATTTGTGAAACATAAGATTCTTCTTCTCTAGATGGGGAGCAAGTATGCCTTTTGAATTTACTCCAGCTCTAGAATTTCCTGGAAATATTTTGAAAACTTTTGATTATCCAGAATGGTCTTGGGAAGGGGGCAAGGCTTACAGTTAAATTATGATTTGTGTCTGTTTGAGAGCCACCTCATTTATATTTTTTCCCGATTTTCAAAAAATTAGATTGTATTAAAATATATTTACACATGAAAATCACATTTTATGTAATTAGTTTCTCTTCAGTGACTGTTGACACCATCTTGAGACTCACGGGACCATGTGCCCTAAGTCCTGGTCTGCCCCGGAATTAGCTCTGGAATCCTGATCTACTCACTTAACCTTTGTGAGCCCTGGTTCTTATCTGTAAAAACCCCTAAAATTCTGAAAGTCCTTGAGTTGTTTATCATAACACAAGGCAGTAGAATTTAAAGGAAACTGGGATATAAATGTATATCATGGAACCTAAAAGTTTCTTGTTAGATTAAATCCTTGATAATTATTTATTTCCTTGGTGTTGGGTGATCTTTAAAGCAAAAGGCACACTGTATAGTCATCCCACAAAAAAATCTACTATTTGACCATTTTGATTACATTCCAGTTAAGTAGGAATTTGCAATGTGTTGATTTCTTTCTTCCTAGCCATGCAAAATGATTGCTGTCGATACGTCGTCTGCATTTCCAAACCATTAAAACTTTCTGGTTGTTGATGTACCTGAAACCTTCAGACATAACTAGATACTTTTTTCTTCCTATGAAACATGTATTCCTGTTGTCAATAACCCAGCTTTAATTATCTTGCTGATAAGGCATGAGAGTCAGCCCCAGTGGCACTTTCCTTTGTGGGTCTATAATTGTTTCTGCAGCCTCCTTGCAGGCCCTGTTCCTCTGCTCAGAGCACCCCCCTGTGGCCTCGAGCGCTGGGAGTCATTTTCCTCTCCTTGCTGTGTACACACTGAAATGTCCTTGCAGGCTCTGTGGCCATTGTCCCACTTAGCTCAGTGAATGACTTCATAGAAGTTGAATGAAGTGGTGCATAAGCAAAAGTCCCAAACACTACCTTGGAAAGTCACTGCCTGGAACTAACTGGCATTCAGTTCATATGACATAAGAAAAAGCATTTGATTAGCCCCTTGGAAATCTTTAAACCTCATCATAATTCCATCACCGAATCCAAATCAACTTCTGGCCCTATCCCAATCTTGTTCACACTTGGCCCACCTCTACACTCCCTGGCCAGACAAGCGCTTTGTTTCCCAGGGGCCAATATGGCTGAATCTGAGAGCTCCTCCTTGGATTATGAAACTTCCAGATACAGACTGCTGCCCGTCCCACCTCCCTACTCGGTCAAGTTTAGGCCAAACCCAGCTCTGGCCTTCAGCTCCTGCCTGGTTGTGCAGTTTTACCCCCACCGCCACCCCCAAATTACCAGTAAATTAGAGCCACTCACAGTGGCCAATGTAGCCTCTTAAGTGGAAGGGTGAGAGAAAAATATATAGACCTCCTTCTAGAAGCCAACGAGTAATTTAATTGCCTTGCTTTTTCCCTCTACACCCCAAAAATGGAATGACAGATAGTCTCTAGAATTTATATGACTTGAGTGTTGGCTCCCCATTGGAAAACACACCCAGGAATGTGTGTCAGTAAATAGTAGGAGATAAGGCATTGTTCTTAGTACTTTCATTAAATAATGAAACAGATCATTTAATGTATAATTAGTAAGTGTATCTTGTGCTGAGAGATGAAGAGAAAGTGGTTGATGTGCCAAGCATTGCAAGGCCGTTATCCCACTGCTCATTAGTATTAGAGTTGGCTCAACAAACACCTCCTTAGCTATAGTCACGGAAAACATTTCAAGCTGGATGTCGACCATGCTGGAAGTGTGTCACAGTCATGAAGTTCATTCTTATGGTGTGTCGAGTACAGAGGGCAGGAATGGGGTGTGCTTCCTTAGAAGACGTGGAGTCCACACTGGGTTTGCACATCAACCCCATTCTTATGGGGCTGTTTGCTCCCTCCCGGAGTGCTAGGGGAAGAGTAGCTGTTGAGAGATTATTGCCAAGTTCTATTATCAAAAAGTCAAAAGATAAGAAGTATAACAAGTGTTGTCGAGGATGTGGAGAAAAGGGAACCTTTGTGCATTATTAGTGGGAATGTAACTTGGTACAACCATTGTGGAAAACAGTAGGAAATTTCCTCAAAAAATTTAAAAATAGAACTACCATTTGATCTAGCAACCCCACTTCCCATTATATATCTGAAAGAAATAAAATCACTATCTGGAAGAGATATCTGCATTCCCGTGTTCATTCATTGCAGCATTATTCACAATAGCCAAGATATGGAAACAATCTAAGTGTCTATTGACAGATGAATGGATAAAGGAAATGTGATATACACACACACACACACACACACACAAATACATACAAATTTATATGTTTATATGTATATATTTATATGTATACACATAAATATAATGGAAAGTTATTCAGTCATAAAACAGAAGGAAATCCTGCTGTTTGCAGCTGCAATGTGGGTAAACCTGTAGGGCATTATGCTAAGTGAAATAAGCCAGACATAGAAAGACAAATATTGCATAATCTCACTTATATGCAGCATCTAAAAAAAAGTCATACCCATCTAACAGAGTACAATGGTTACCACAGGTTGTGGGGGGTGCAGGACAAAAACAGGAGATATTAATCAGAGGGTATAAACTTTCAGCTATAAGATAAAGGAGTTCTGGAAACCTAATGTACAACATGGTGACTGTTGTAAATAATGATGTAATATGTAGTTGAAATTCGCTAAGAAAGTAGATCTCAATTATTTTCACCACAAAAGATATTGGGTTTTCGGAGAAGTCATGATGTATTTTTGTCTATGTTTTTCAAAGGTCATTTATTTATATAAAGAACAAAGATCAATCAATGATATATTGCCCATTTTGTTCGATAACCTTTTGCCATCTTTCAGTGAGCTTCATAATTCCTCGTTCACCGAAGGCCCTGTCTTTATTTGCAAAAAACTGAACAAGATGCTGATTTACAGCCTCATCTGAATTGAACGTTATACCACGCAAAGGAGTTTTTTTTGTTTTGTTTTGTTTTGTTTTGTTTTGTTTAGCTGAGCCATCCTGCTACCTGTTGGCAGCTCAGCGGCTGCTCAGCTCGGGCTGGACTCGAACCACTGTTGCTCAGAGCTCAAACTCTTCAGCGAGCTCTTAACCAACTGAGCCACTCGGCCGGCCCCAGGAGTTTTGAAGAAAGCGAAACGAGTGGAAGTCTGATGGCACAAGGCCAGGCGAGTATGGTGGGTGTGGCAACACATCCCATCCAAGCTCCAGTAATTTTTGC